TACAGTAAAAATCCCGTCTAAATTAGCCAAGCTGTTTCGCATATAACCAGGAACATATGCGGACTTGCGGACAGACATTCAGACAAAAATTTTACTATTTTATTTTTCGTTATTAACTAAGGAAATACACCATGTATGAGAAACATAATTTTTTATATAACAAATATGTATTTAGTGGTCAGTCTTTATAACAATAAACCAGTTTCGTATCACACATGTACCTCAAGGTCTAGGACTATGCATCATCAGTCGTGTCTAAAATACACAATGATGCGCGGAACTATGTAATTATATATATTTACTCGGTACATGACCATCGACTTAGGTACTTAACATAATTAAATCATATATATGGATACAATAATCTCATTCTTCGAATAAAATTTGGTTCCTTGTAAAAAAATAATGTTATTGTACTCGAATTTTTAACTGTTGTCGAAATACTGTATAACGGTAGAGTTTCATTGTCGAAGCCTTCGTATAATGTATCCTCGCTGTAGCTCTCGCCCGCGACGCTGTTCGTGCGTAACAAAAGAATCTTAATAAGTAGCCTGTCTGTTTTTCAAGACTATGTACTAAATCGGTGCCAAACATTACGATCCGTTGAGCCGTGCCAGAGATACCTTTTAAAAAACACCCATCCATCCATCTATTAATCCATACGTTCGCATTTATAACATTAGCAAGATTGGTATGTCAGGTTTTTTAGAGATTGCAACATATGTGTTTTTACGATGGTATCGACAGTGGAAACCAAAGCTTACGTAGTCGGAATGTCGGGAGGGTAAAGATTTTCGGTATTAACAGATTCGGTAGGTGAAAAGTAAAAATCTTGAGCGATATAAAAAGGGTCTTGGCAGACAGACGGGCAAAGTGATCCTATAAGGGTTCCGTTTTTTTTCCTTTTGAGGTACCGAACCATAAAAAGGTGTATTTTCGTATTTTTTCTAGAAGTGACATATGAGTAGTCATACTAATTCAAGGTTTAATTAATTTTCTATTTAAACGAATTATAAGTCAATATTGAAGTACAATGACCGATGATCTCAGCATGTATTTGCAAAACTTCGACACAAAAAAACTGTTGATTACCGCTTACTAACAAAAGATTCGGGTAATCCAAGATTATGGGTCTCATTATTTTGTTTATCACATTTAAGAATTACATGAAAAAACAATCTTTAGAAATGACAAGGAAATTTTATATACATTTGGTAAAACCCGCAAAGGACGTCATTTTTGCGTAGCTTATAGCGTTCCGAGTACGACACATGAAAGTCAATGTCACAATCACAAAGAGATTGGTTTGTTTGTCTGCGGTTCTTACGATTAGGGTTCAAATCCATTACAGATGGATGGATGTTTGTTTAAAGATATCTTCGGAGCGGCTCAATGAATCTTGCTGAAATTTGGCATAGAAGTAGAACATAGTTTGGAAGAACACATAGGGTTTTCATGTATTTTTTAATTCTACGCGAACGATGTCGCGGTCGACAACTAGTAAAATAATTACATTATGGTGACCATGATGTGTTTTTAATAGGGCGTACGTCATTCGTCATCGTAAGTCATCATCAACTACGCTGGCCCAGTGCATTTTGGTTGACTTTACACATATCTTTGAATTTCTTCGTACAGATTGCATTACGTTTTCCTTCACCGTAAGAACGTCAGATAAATGTACATACATATTTAAATCGAAAATCGACAAACATATTGATATACGGCGGGATTCGAACTCAGGACCTGCAGATTACAAGGCAAGCGCTTAACCTTTGAGCCGCCGACACTCTTAATATAGCCATGATGTATTTTTAATGGGCGTACTTTACATCCCTTCCTAATTATGGAGAATTCAATAATATTTAAATAGTTACTCTAGTGTATGCATAAACGTGGTGTTGTTTATCTCGAGCGTACATTTCATAAGTACATACCTGAGAGAGGGAGCGTCAGTCGATTTTAACAGTGGTAGAGCCCGCTTTAACATCTTCGCACGAATTGGCCCGGTTCGCCCGGTGAAATACCACGACCACACAGAAGACATTGACCGATGTGACAGGCGTGAAGTGGAAGCAATTCCGGGTTTCGTCTGATGAGTGTGCGTCCCGGAGGCCTAATTTAGTCCTCTTTCCTTTCCTACCCTTTTTCTCTAATAAGGAAAGGATGGGAAGTGGAAGTGGACATTCCGGATGAGAGGATGCATGGAAAGGGAAAATGTTTTCTTTCTGTACATCCTCTCCTCCGTCGATTAAAGGTAGGCAACGCATATGCAATTGCGTATGTCTATGGGCAACGGTCACTTCGCTATTTCAGCGATTTCAGGTGGCCGCTCGCTCGTTTGCCACCTTATGATATAAAAAAAAATATGTCAGACCTTTGGACCGACAACACGTGTCGGTACATGAAAGAGCCAAATATAACGCAACGAATGCTACAGTTACTATATACTGTGACAATACATAATTTATACGTTTAAATTAATTATTTTTGCGTGTTATAAATTAATCAGTTATACGATTTTAACCATTCTTAAATACTCAATTGTTGTTCGTTTGACAAAAATGTTATTTTTGTCAAAGGAATTAACTATTCCATAATTCATTTGCGTACATATAAATAAATACAATAGAATTGATACTTAATGGTTAATAATTTAGTTTATTAATAATTTATAGCAGATTTTTACATATCCAAACCCAGGTTAAGTAAGGTTTCAAGGTACACATGATGTGTTTTGCAAGCTGATAACAAAAAACAATTTATAAAAATGTCTGCCTCCGGAACGACTAAACTGATTTTGAAGGGAGTTGGACTGGGATATTAAAGGCTTTTTTATTTTATTCTGCACTGATGAATTCGCGGGCAACCGCTAGTTGTTCCAGAATTGTAAGAAAAGTCAATAAAAGTTATAAACAATTTATAGGTCTCTATCAAATGAAATGAATCAGCAATATAAATCGTTTTTTACGTCTGTCTTTTGATAAGTCTGTTGAGGTTGACTTACACTATAATTACAAAAAAAATGACTTCCTAAATGAATAATAATCAGTCAATAAGTGCAGATGTGTATGGGTGCGGACACTTCGCCATTTTGGCGAATTCAAGGGACCGCTTGCTGGTTTTCAAACATTAGGCTACTGTTGGTTCGATTAAATTATGAAAGCATAACTCATTAAGAAAATATAATATCGTATTAGCATATATCTAAGTATGGACTAGCATTAAAAACGTATTAAAATAGAATTCAGTCTGACGTAAGAGTTACATTTGAACATATAATGTAAGACTTCAAGGAAAACACTAAGTTCCGCCTTATTTATAATCTAAAGATGTGTTAATATGTAAACGAAGACCTACAATACATGTATAGCAATATTACCTTGACTTTAGCCTCTAGTATTGTTAGTCAACCGTTTCTGCCTTAAAAGACTAGAAGCTTAGAGCGACAGTGACTCAGGGGTTAAGGCCTTGACTTGTAAAAACCAATGGGTTTTTCGATTTACATCGTTACATTTATCTGACATTCTCACGAAAAAGAAAAATATTGCTACGCAACGTGCACATACCTACGTACAATCCAAAGATATGTGAATTCAACCAACCTGCACTCGGCCCGCGTGGTTGACTATGGCCTAAACACCCTTAACTAAGGGTAGGCTCCGGGCCCCTCAGTGGGAACCTATAGTGAGCTGATGATGATGATGCTTTACTATGTGTTTCCACTTCTTGACAATTATATTGAAACATATTTCGGCAATAAAATGATCGAAAGCTAATCGCGAGGAAGTAACTCCATTAATTTTATTTTGTCATTCGTGTTTATTTTTACTATTGAAAAATAAACTAGCTCTTGCCCACAGGTCCGTTTCTATATTTTTGTTTTTTGGTAAGAAAATTTTCCAAACAAGTAAACTCATGTTTAAAAGCATGTGCTTTAGCTTGCTTGGTGCGATGGTTGATGTTCCTAAAATATTAAGGCACCCGTCAACTGTTTTAATTGCGTCGTTTATATTCAATATATAAAATGTAAAAGTGTTTCGCGAAGACAAAAATGCCAAGGTTGTGTTACGCCATGTATCGCCCGAAGCGGGGTCATACCCATTGCCGTACCAACTTGGTGGGCAAATATTACTTTTCAAGAAAGAAGGAGATTCTTTTATGATATTTTAGTTGAATAAAATGACGTATTCTACTGTCGAACCATTAACTGAGTTTTAAACAGTTAATAAAGGTGGGTCTGCATGTTATATCGAAAATAATCATGCGCCATACTTAAGTATTATAAGTACGTAGAGTCGAATTCGTAATAGAAAAATGAATACCAAACTTATCTTAATAATTTTGTCATCATAGGCCTGTTATCACAGACATATCACATATATTTTTGTATCATTAATGTAAAAACTAAAACTTTTCAAACTAAATGCATAGATAATATAAAAATTAATAAAAAAAAATGGGACCATCTGCAAGCAAAACCTTACGATCAAAAAAAAATTCAAAATCAGCACCAGGAGCGGAATAACGCTGTATCATACATAAAAAAACATACAGATTAATTAATAACCTTCTTTTCAAAGTCGGCTAATATATATTGGCAGGCATACAAACATGCGTAAATAAAAATTCTCGTGTCCATTGAATTCAATTACATCTATCTATATTTATATCCTTAATTAAGTCAAAATTATTTAAACACTTTCACATCTATTTAAAGGACAGTTCACGTTTTAATACGACTATTGAAGTGATAGAATACGACTAGGCAGTTGTGAATTTTAAACAACTCGATAAGAAATAAGTTTTTATTGAAAAAAATTCCGACAGATTCGAACCTACTGTTGCATAGTAGAGGCTTAAAACTCCTTCTTGGTATATCATATTATATTTATACGTATTGATTGAAACTTAATATAACTGTAAGAATATTTTTGAACAAGTATTTTAACTATTTTACTATCTTCCAATTGTAGAGTTCCTTATGTTTTTTTTTTCAGAAAAAAACTCGTCGACATGGCGCCATCAGTTGGCGTGTCTGAATTCTTCGCGGGCAAGAAGATTTTCATCACCGGAGCAACTGGTTTCATGGGGAAGGTTCTAATAGAGAAACTCTTGCGATGTTGTCCAGATATAGACAAGATATATATATTGTTGCGAGCCAAAAAAGGACAGGGCACTAAAGAGCGTCTTGAAAATTTTATTAATTGTCGAGTAAGTAAAGTATGTTGCAACATTACTGTGAGTTTCTAAAACCCGAATCTCCGGTTAAAACATAATGTTATCTCTGTTTTGTCGAAGATAATGACAGGGTTAACGATATGTTTTAAACAAAGATTCAGAAACCCACGGTAAGTTTCAAGCATCATTTATCCACATTTAAGCTATTACTTTTATGTTTATGTGCCCATCATCTCTCCTCATATCTCTATACGTTGGTAATCATCTTTCCAATTTCTACATACCTGACGCAACTTTTAAACTACATGTAATATATTCATTCTTAATTTTATTATCCCTTATCATTGCACCATACATCTATGTTAACATACGCATCTCAACCAAACTTTGTGATGAAAAGAGATTGTTTGTGGCTAAGTTTTCAATAGTTACATTTTAACCAGCAGTCTTCCGCGACTACAACCGCGCGGGATAAAATAAATAATTATTTTATTATATTACGAATATATTACGAATTATAAAATTCGTTCAGTTCATATATAGCCTATGTTCTACACTATGTTCAACATCTACGCCAAATTTCAGCATGCAGCTGTTCTGATGATACCTTATATCAAACATCCATCAATCCATACATCAAAACATTCGCGATTATCATATAATATTAGTAATATTTGTATTAAATCTGTTTCCAGTTATTCGACAAATTACAAGACACATCGCTGAAAGTATTGGACAAGTTGCATGTGGTGCCGGGTGATATTCTGCAGGATGAGCTAGGCATGTCTATAGCGGACTGGGATGAGCTTCAGAGAGAATGTCAGATAGTCTTCCATTGCGCTGCTTGTGTCAGGTAATCACCATTATCAATAGTTATTACCAAAACAAACGAGCAGTTGAGTTGCAAACTGATGATAAAATAGAAAAATTGTGTTGTAGTCTTTAAAAATACTTTAGTAATTAGGGTTGTAAATTGTTTGAATCGAAAATGTTTGTCGAAACGTGGAGCTAAAGAGATGACGTCGAATGCCTTTAGTTATTAGGGGTGTATTCGAATCTCGAATCGAACGAATTGGTCGGATATAAATATTGATAATATTCTAAACAAATAGTACTTAAGCTAGAATTATTCACACTTCTATTTATTGCTTTAATTATTACTTTTCTCAATATGAACACAACATTTTTAATTACTCTAGCATTTTATATCTCGAGAGTTCAAATGTAACTATAGGTTTTCGAACCGAATCATTAAAAATCATTGTTATCTGTTTTCAAGTGGAATCATATAATATAAGTAACTGTTTATTTTTAGATTTGATACGTTCATTCGTGACGCGGTCGCAATGAACACAGAAGGTACAATGAAAGTGCTCAAATTAGCCGCCGGTATGAAAAAGCTTGAGGTATGCCTTGTTCTTATGATTTAAGTAATTAGATAGTTGTAACCAAACCTATCCAATTACGACAAAAACCACAATGTTTTCAACCATAGACAAACTGCATCATTCTACTTCAAAAAGCGACTACAACTTTTTATCAATCAGCATCATACTATCTGTTGTCTCACAGTTCAGCCACGACTGTTACAAAAAAACATCCTCATTGTATTGACTTTTAAAAATACATCAGCTCCATAATATTTGCAGGTGTTCCTGCACGTGTCCACGTCTTATTGCCGCTGCGAGCTGCCTGTACTGGAGGAGCGCCTGTATCCCGCCGCCCACCGTCCACAGGATGTCATGCACTGCGTGCGGTGGATGGATGATGACCTACTCAAACACCTGAGCCCTAAGTAAGCATACCTTATCTCTGTACTACATTACCTGGTGCTCTTTATTAAGAAAGGTGAAATACTTTAACTGAAGGGAGCTGCCGCTACACTCTTTTGTCTTTGACTTTTTTAATAACTAAACTAAACTTTAAGGATTACAAATGACATCATGACTAAGGTTTAAAATACATAGACTGGTTTAAACAACTTCGGCAGCAGTTTTTAGCTGTAAACTGGAGTACGTACGACTCGACTGCTGTCGCCAACGGATTGATAATTAATTTATTTTACGTTCCAGATTAATCGAGCCTCAACCAAACACTTACGCATACACAAAGTCTTTAACTGAAGACTTGGTATCCCAACACGCAGGAAAATTTCCCATCGCAATTGCTCGGCCCTCTATAGGTTAGTATTAAATTTGTATAACAATAACTAAAAATTAGCGTCGGTGGTTCAGGGGTCAAGCACTTGACTTCGAATCCCGCCATGTACCAATGTGTTTTTCGATTTCCGATTTACATATGTTCATTTATCCGACGTTCTTACGGCTAAGGAAAACATCGTGATGCAACCTGAATATATCTGAGAAGAAATTCAAAGATATGTGTGAAATCAACCAACCCGCACTTGGCCAGCGTGGTTGACTATGGCATAGTCACCCCTAACTTAGGATAGGATCCGAGCCCCTCGGTGGGGACGTATAGTGAGCTGATGATGAACTAAAAATACTTAAAAGGCAGAGATCAGTTGCTCAAGTCAGATTATAATCATTTTAAAAACGTGTTTTTCAGTGTCTGCAGCGCACAAGGAACCATTGCCGGGATGGGTAGACAACATGAATGGACCTACAGGTCTACTGGTCGGCGCGGGAAAAGGTAATAAAATATATTAAACCATCTAAAGACAATAAATCTTAATCCTACTTATAATATAAATGCGTATATTTGGATGGATGGATGGATTTTTGTTTGAAGACGACCTGGATGTCTCCAGGATGGCTGAAATTTGACATACATATAGAACAAGTCTGGAAGAATACATATGCTATTAATTATATATTTTTTTTAATTCCGCACGGACGGAGTAGCGGGCGACAGCTAGTAATTTATACATCTTAAAAATTCTCAAAACTCTAATGCATAATGCCATCCATCATCCAATGAGTGGAGAAATATTGTACGCAAGAATTGTGGATAGGTGGCATCTCTCAAGAGTGAGTTAAAGTTTGACTAAATATCTCTAATTGGTCATTTTATAAATTCCAGGTGTAATTCGCACAATACTCCTCAATGACTCGTACCTCGCCGATATTGTCCCGGTGGATATAGCTGTAAATGGATGTATATTACTAGCTTACGTCACTGCAATTGAAAAGTAAGTTTAACATAAATATATTATAAAATCCAGGAAACGTCATTGAACGCTCACAATGTATAATTAAGTCGAAAACTTGTCAACAACATACATACACATTTGCTAAACGACATTCAATCTTAAGTAGGAAGCAAATTTAATTCTTTGACAATGTTGCAACTAATACATGTTGATTTATTTAATAACCTTTGAAATATCGATTTGTTTTGCATTATAATGTTTAACAATAATTATACTTAATAATGAGAATCTTTAAACTATATTGAACTTAATTTTAAAACAATAATTTCACAGACCAAAGGAAATCAGAGTATGCAATATTACCCAGTCTGGAATTAACCCTCTCACTTGGGGCCGAGCGCTTGACATGGGTAAAATACATTTTATTATTAATCTTACTCTTACTAATATAAATGCGAATGTTTAAGTGGACGGATGTCTGATTGAAGGTAGCTCCAACTCAACAGATCTTGATGAAATTTGGCATAGATGTAAAACATTGTCTAGAAGGACACATAGGCTAATCATTAAGGTTTTTTTTAATACCGCACGACGAAAGATAATGCTTAGTTTGAGAACAATTAGTGCTGTAGACATACCATATCGACTCAAAAAGATCTTAATATTCCCGTTTTAACCAAAGGTGCCAAAAGAAAGCCAGTACCTGAATTCGCTAAAACAAAACAAGATCAACATTACATTTGTAGTAACTAAGCCTATTAAAACATTTAGGTCGAGTACACGTGCAGGAGTTTCCATTCTCGGTGTGCCTCTGGTACCCGGGCGGCTCGCCGAAGAATTCCCGTATCCAGCATTATATAGCTTTATTCTTCACGCACTTCCTACCAGCATACTTGGTCGACCTGCTAATGTTCCTCATGGGCAAAAAGACTTTGTAAGTTACACAATTGTTATTAAAAAAGGCAACTCCTTAATGTTTTGATAGGTATTGTTTACCTTAATTTTGTTCACAGTATGGTGAAAATACAGAAGCGTGTCAACTACGGTCTGGAAGTGCTTCAGTATTATACCACGAAAGAGTGGTTCTTCACAAACGATTACTTCGTATCGTTACGAGAGAAGATATCCAAACAAGATAATGAGACATTCTACACGGATATGAATGTAAGTAACAAAAATACATGAGAAGTTCAAAAACCCTGGGTACAAGAAATTCATCATCATCATCAGCTCACTATACGTCCCCACCGAGGGGCTCGGAGCCTACCCTAAGTTAAGGGTGATCAGGACATAGTCGACCGCGCTGGCCAAGTGCGGGTTACTTACAAAAAATTAGCAACCCACAATACCCAGCAGTCCAGTTCGCACGTTGTATAAAAGAATTCTCTGGTGTCTGATGTGCCAACACATTTTTGTTACTTTTTATTATTTTATACTTTTCATTCTATTTAAAACACCGAGATAATATGTTTACCGAATACTTCGACAATGGAAATTAATGAAACGTAAAATATAATTATATGTTAATAAATGTATATTTCATACAAATACGTTCTGAATTATTCTAATCATATATTGCCATGTGTTCATATTTTTAATATATATTTATATATGTTACAATTCATACACGTTTTCTTGTAAAACTCATCATCGGTCTTATCCCACTCACGTAAGGTCAGCATAAAGTTTTATAAACCTTAATGATTTAGTTTATTTTTTACAGCCTGCCATAAGCATGCTGCTATAAGCCGTGATTTGTTGTAAATAAAACTTTTTTTGCAGATGCTGAACTGGAGTAAATATATAAGAAATTATATTAGGGGTGCTCGAGAGTACTGTTGCAAAGAAGATCCAGCTACATTGCCACAAGCGAGGAGATTACAAAAACAGTAAGTATTTTGATACCGCATGACCTTTTTATATCATAAGGTTTCAAACGAGCAAGCGGCCACCTTGATACGGCATAATAGTGAAGCGAACGCTCTCCATAGGCAAGTACAGAAGCGTTGTCTAACTTTAAACTACAGAAACGCATTGAAAAATTCTACTTCACCTTCCCATTAAGAAAAGGGTGGAAAGGGAAAGAGGACTAAAGTTAGGCCTCCTCCACACTCATCGGACTGTACGCGGAATTGCTTTCACTTCACGCCTGTCTTCTGTGTGGTCGTGGTATGTCTGCGGGTGTACCATGCAATTCGTGCAACAGATCTTTTTTGTGCTGGCGTCTACCCTTGTTACCTTCTCAAAGACCGGGGATGCATCTACAGTTCTTCTGGTACTGCTTTGGTTAACACCTCGGTGTTCCCATTGCTCGTTTTCCCCCATATATTATAAAAACGCGGTAGCATTAATAATGTTTAAGGGTACCTATTTAATTTCTGAATACTGTGAAAGATATTAGCAATAGCTAACAGTAGGGGACAGATACAGGCTGATGATGATTATTTGAAGCGCCAATATCCTAATACTTAAGGGAACGGATTTTCGAATAATTGGTCGAGAGGTCGAATCCTGCCATTCGACTATTGTCGTAAGCCATAGAGCTTCAAGAAATATTAGTAAATTACCAAAAATTTGCTATTATTTTAAATAAAAAATAATATGATGATGAATGACATGCTGTGGTGACCATTACCCGAGGTATTCTTGAGGTCATGTAAACAGAATGAAATGCTATGATTTGTGGTAATTTTATATTTTAATAATAGTTTGTTTTATTTTCAGGCTTTACTATCTGGACAGAGCGGTGCAGTTCGTCCTTTATTCACTTCTCGCGTACTTTATTTATTATTATTTTATACGAAAAATTTTTACTTAGACTTGTTTTATTTTATATATTAAATTACTGTAATTTTTAATTTTCTTTTGCCATTTTATTGGGCAGGTGCCGCTACGGACGGTCAATTTATAATATATTACTTATATTTTCAGTGTAAATTTTATTCGACAATAATATGTTCGTTGTTAATGTATTCAAAACTTTGAAACAATTAATAATTTTTTCACCTTTATCCATTATTAGTATTGTATTCATGAAACCGTTCAACTAATATCAAATTCAATGCATATTAAAATACCTTAATATTGTAAATGAAATAACAACGTATACATAAATATAATTAATTTTTTACACAATAAAAAAATTGTACGTAATTAATTTGTACATTGTGAATTAATTCAAAGTTGCATAATAAAAACCGGTTATTTCCTGTTTTTATTTCGAAAATATAATTTATAAATTAGGTACATTTACAAAGTTACTAATATTGTCTTTCAAAAGATATTTTCGAACAAAAAACTGGGACTTAACCTATTTTTTAACTAACATATAGTTCTGCGACATAGACATTTATATTATTTTTATTATCCTATAGTATGGTGTAAATATCTTTAAATTACGAATAAACATTTTAAATAATTTAAAAATAAAACAATTTGGATTGCATATTGATTTCTAGATGTTATTAATTTAACTAATACGAGAAGATACATAAAGCACTGTTAATCTATGAAATATAAAATAAAAAAATGGTACTGTTATTCTTTTGTATCTTATATGTTTTCAAAATCAAAACGCAATGTTTCAAATCTTATATATTTTTTTTATTTAGTGGGAGTTAACTGTTTTGTTTACCTCATGAAGTTGCGCATTCCTAATGTGATGGTTACTAAATGTAATACAATTATAAGAAGATTCATAGTTATTTTAGTTCCCAATGTAATGTTACAATGCTTTGATTAAACCGAAATAATTCAATGAATTTAGGGACGTTACGATATTTCTATTCCAAATACGATATTCACCAGTGCTTGTGCTGTTCAGAGACAGGGTTGTCACGAATATAATTATGACATTTAAAATATTTACAGAGCGATAAACTTATTTGACCCGGTTGGCATAGGCAATGATTATCTGTCATCTTTTATGTAGCGTTTCTAACATAAAGAACTGCGACAGTAACGACTCTCAGCGAGCCAGTATTTGTAACACTATAATAGTCCTCCTTACTCTAAAATTTCTTTTAAATATTTTAGAACATATTTAGAATCAATTTTCTTATAATCCAGACACAACCATGTTTGTGTTTTATTACTGGAATAGACCAACTAACTTCGTTGCTATGTAAAACGCCGCATACAAAGACGTTTACTTTACTAAAATAGCCCTTTAGTGTAGATTGTTAAGTCTATGACCAATGGTCAGCCATTGGTTTCTGAGATCAAAATCTCCCCATAAAACATATCGTCATCCCTATCGTTATCTTCGACAAAACAGAGATAACGATATGGTTTCAGAAACCCACGATGAGTACTATTAAATCACATTAAAAAAATTGATCACTTCCGAAAAATGCATACTAATGGTATAATTATTATTTACTTGATTAGTCTGTGATTCATTTATATCATTAACGATAATTGTCATTTACTAAGGACTCTGTAATGGACTAAAGCAGCCCTGACCAGTTCGTAACGATACGTTGAATAATTAAATAAAGTTACGGCCATATTCAGTATATTTCAGCAAGCATTCGTGACCACTTCGCCATTCAGTGCGCTTCACACTTGGCTAAGAATAAGGTGAGCCATTTTTTATCTATACATCGATTACTTAATTTAAACATTTTTATTACTAATCCTTTTTTAGCAGACTTCAAAAAGAAGTAGGTTATCAATTCGTCTGTGTGTTCTTTTTTTTAATGTGTTACCGCGTAACTCCGCCCCTGGTGCTCGCTCCGATTTTGACATTTTTTTTTTGATCGAAAGGTTTTGCTTGCAGGTTGGTCACACTTTTTTATAATAATTAATTTTGAAACTGAATAGAAGTTTAGTAGATTCTAAATCTAAGTTGATAATTCGTTACGAATATTTAGGACTGTTTTGGGTTCTTCGCTTACGTAGGCTAAACTAAACGGCCTACGTAAAAATGATGTATGAACGAATTGTGGCTCTTTAAATTTGCTAAATAAAATACAATAATAGTACATATCTCTATCTATCTATTATAGTTTTTTCACAATAACCATTATTTTCTGGAAAAACATTAATTAAAATCATGCGCTACTTCCGACGTTATTATTCGAGTTCGGTATTAACCCTTATATAAATAAGTAAATACTTGTCTCTTGATAATCCAAATGGATTATCAAATATGCTCTTATAAACTGTTAACCAAAAACTCATCATTTACGGCTTTTTACTTAAAGTAAAGTCTCTTTTAGTCGAAATCCAAAAGTACCAACTCGTACACTTACCTCATTCCATGTAAAATATTCATTCAAAAAAAAATGTAGTTTGTAAAAAGCAAAGATCATCTACTATGGAAATGTTATAATTTTTTTAACTAAAGTGTGCCTAAAAGACAATTCCATTTGTAACAAAAACCGCAACCAGTAAGGATTATCAATTTCACTTCTTACTAATATTATAATAATACAAGATGAATGTTTGTTCGAAGGTATCTTAAGTTAAGTTCTTTATTCCGCGCGGAATATTCAGTTAGTTATTCGTATAGTGGAAAATTTCTAAGAATTAAAACATGGTAATTCTTTCATTTTACGTCAATTGCTTCGACTGAACGTGACTACGTTTGATCGCTTGTCAATTGTTTACCTGTTTCTTTGTAAAATAAACTTAGAAAAGTCTTTGCAGTTGTCTACCAACGTGGGGTTTTAGTCGGTGCAAGCCCGATATAACTTAACTCTGTTTTTAAATTACTCTCAAGAGTTAAGCGTGCGTTAGGCATTTCCCCACGTTAAACAAAAAAAAAACAAGCGAAAAGAGGACTGACATCAGTCATTAGCAAAATTGCTAAAGAATGAATGATAAATGGATGTCTAGATGGATGGATATTTGTTATCGAGTATCTCCATAGATAGGCTACTAAGTTTTATTTTAATCCCACGCGGACGGAGTCGCAAGCGACAGTTAGTTTACCTATATTTCTAGTATGAAGCCCCAGTAGCCTAATAGTTAAGGGTACAGATTTCCGATCTGGTTGGGGGGTTCGATTCCCGCCATTCGACTATTGTTGTAAACTATGTCTTAGCACAAGCATATAGCCTAATTAAAATCGTACAAGAATTTAAAAAAATGCTAATGATCTCTAGGACTGTGGTTTTTTAGTTCAGTTATTAAATTTTATTTTACTTGTAGGCTTATATTAAGATTATTAATTAATAATGTTAATTCTGACTTATATCAGTATCGTACGAATTTCCATTTCTATTGTATGGAAATAAGACAGGTCAAGTTATAAGCCCAAAACAAACCAAATACAGGTCTGTACAAAAACTGTAAATTAATTGTAAAATAATACGAAATAGCAATGAAAAAAAACGTACTAACTTATTAATTCAAAAAAAGTTCCTAACGTAACAACCCACGCGCCCATAGTATTATAGATTAATCGTATAGGCTGACAACATCTGACCCGGTAAGCATAAAACACTAAGTTATATTATCAATATTAATATTGATAGCGTCCCACTGTCAGTCCCAAAAAGTGTAACAAAATTGTTGTAGTACTATAGCTGTCTTATCTCGTTGTTTCACTTTTATATCATGTTCTACGCTTAAGGTTTTACAAATTTTATGACAGAACTGACAGCGATAGCTACGCCTCTCACCGGGCTAAATATGTTAAACAGACTATACGCTTGATCGCATATCGTATAAATTATGTGTAATCCGACTTGTAATCAGTTAATTTGCCTTTGTAGTACATTGATCCGTTGGAACCACAATGTTAGTTGCATTGCGTTAGAAATTGCGCATTGTATAATGATATGATAAATTCAGCAATGTCCTGCAATTACAAGCCAAATATTGGTAAAGGTTGCGCATTCGTACGTTACAAGACATGTTAACTAATAGGTTGAAAGAACAGTCAGCCACATAGTTATGGATACATAAACAAAACTTTAGAAACTTGCATGAGCCGTTGGTTTTAAAAATACTTATGGCACCGTATTCTTGAAGAATACGGTGCCATAAGTATTCTCGTCCGATTCGTGCGTACATATTTTTAAAACCAAAAGCCTACACAAGTTTATGAAGCATAGTAAATATATATATTTAATACGCATATTTATGGAGCGGACTGTACAGAATTTCGCGCATTTCACATTTACATTATTAATGGGAATTTTAATTACCGAATTAAAAATATAACGCAATAATGAAGTAATTTTAAAATCGAAAAAAGATTTTGTAATAGAAAACTAACTTTGTTATATTGTTCGAGTTAAAGAAAAAATATAGAAAACAGTGTAACTAGCTAGCTAGAGAAGCGGGTAAAAAGTTACATCTTTAATATATTATACCTTTTATCAAAAGCAACGCATCCGCAATTCCTCTAGTATTGCAGATGTCCATGGGCGTAGATGATCACCTCGGTGTTCCAGCTGCCCATTTGCTTTCTTCTCTAAAAAAACTCAAATTCAAATTATTTAAGCAGTATTAGCTGTCATTACCACGCAGATGACAGCCATGAAGTGGATCTATTTCCGCGTTTTTTCTTATGAATACTGGAAGCCAAATAATGTCCTCTTCCCCTTTCCGCCCTTATAGGAAGGGATGGAATGAGAAAGTGGAGATGGCAGGGGAAGGGTAAGAATAGGAAATCTTGTTTCTATAGGTTCCCTCTTTTGTCTTCTCTCCCCATTCTCACTTTTTTTCAATTAGGAAAGTTATTTAGGATATTGATTATCATTTACTTAAAAGGAAAAAAAAACAAAGTCTATCTGTCCTATAAAAGTTACAATTAATCTATTATGTTAAAGATATTTTACAAAATGTCTGTTCGTATTCGCGTGTTTATTTCTAACAAATCAATTAATGCTGTCTCCTGGTGATTGATTAGTGTTGTTATAATACGTATTTATCGATAAAATCGACACTATCAAGATTTACGGTTAAATTTAAAATTTATGAACATTTTATTTTGCAGAATCTAAATAACAACATGCAGCCTTCAGTCGCTGAATTTTATACAGGAAAATCTATTTTAGTAACAGGAGCCACTGGATTTGTGGGCAAAGTAAGTTATTAAATTTGGAAACATTTAATTTAAAATAGATACTATTTAAAATTAAGTCTTCTTCAATCGGCAGATTTTAAGTTTTCAATCTATCAGCCAACAATTTTTTTTGTCTAAAGTACATAGTAAAGCCAACTATTTTTTACAAAAAATCGATCGCGCTCATCCAGAGTCGCGCTGCAAGCCGTTCAGTGGAAATAGGCGCAAGCCGTTCACAAGCCTTCTACTAATTTTAGTGAAAATGTTTTTGGTGTCGTATTCAAACTTTTATTTATAATTCCAGGTACTAGTAGAAAAGCTTTTGAGAAGTTGTGATGGAATCAATAAGATATATCTATTGTTGAGACAGAAGAAGGGAGTAAGCAGCGAGGATAGATTGAAAGAACTTTGCAATAATAAGGTAAGAGTAAATAAGTAAACATTAAGCTTGTACTAGGATATGGGTACAACAATCGAATGGCAAGAATCGAACTCAGGACCGGGTTATAAATAGTTCATTGCCTACACCATTAGGCTATTAGCGCAATTAAATCTTGCGGTTTGATAGTTATTGAGCTTGGTGTGCTTTTAACTTTTTTTTCTTTTTCAGTGTTTTGAAAATTTAAGAGCGAAACAGCCTGAAGTGTTTAACAAGCTGAAACTTATAGCGGGTGATATACTAGAAGACGAGCTTGGTCTGTCAAACGATGACAGGCAGGAGTTGCAGAAGAATTGTAATATTATATTTCACAGTGCTGCTTGCGTCAGGTAAAAATAATCATATAAAGAACTCTAAAATGGTACTGAAAAATGTATGTTTTTTTATAAACAAACTTCACTTGTACTAGACAAGTATGTTCTATTTTATATTTTAAAGAAGATATACTAATACACATTAATATTATTTTAGATTTGATCAAAAATTAAAGGAAGCAGTTAACTTGAACACTACAGGCACATTGCGTGTTTTGGAATTAGCCGAGACCATGGAAAATCTAGAGGTAAGATTTTATTGGGTATTTAACGATTTTCATTCCTCGTCATAGAATTTAAAATGTTTAAATTACAAGCGCCTTGAAATCTTCCATATTAACCCTTGTAGCTACAAATGAACTAAACTAACTAAGCTAAGCACTAGCTTTGTTTTTGGATATGGTCTAAAATAGTCGAGTGACGGCATTCGAACCCACGACCGCGTGATCCGATTTTTACCCATAATCATTAGGCTAGCATTTAGAACCATGTAATGAAATATTTGACAGGCATTCGTTCATCTATCGACTGCGTATTGCCGCTGCGAGTTGCCTGTACTGGAGGAGAAGCTGTACCCTGCCATGCACAGCCCTCGCCGTATCTTGGACATCGTGCAGTGGATGGACGACGATATGCTCAATTACTTAGAGCCCAAGTACGTTCATTCAATATCTATAGACTATATACATATAATACTTAACAGATCGGTATAAGAAAAACTATTAAAAGGATATTTATCGACGGCTTAGAACATAAAGTAGCAATTATTAGTGTTTTTGTCCGCATGTCGAGTTGTCTGTGAGTTTGTGTACGCTAATCTCAGAAACAAATGGGTTGTGGTTAGCTTCACTTAATATTTAATGTTTGTTTTATCTCAATAAATGGATAAATGAAAAGTTTTGTCATTTTCAAATTGGCTTCATAAACAAAGCGTTAGTGAAGCTTCTATGATGTGTCGTATTTCATGATTATAAACTTTTTTAACTATTTTTTTTTCTTTCTGTGCCCAGACTGATTGCTTCGGAGCCAAATACATATTCCTACACTAAAGCAATTACGGAGAATTTAGTGGCAGAATACCAAACCAAATTTCCAATCGCTATCGGCAGGCCATCTATTGGTAAGTAATAATATATATAAAATAAATATAAATTAAATTGACAACTATTTTCGATGTCGGATACTGGGTAGATAGCATACAAGTACAAAAAAATCATAAGATTTTAAAATGAAAAGATAAAAATAAATCTCCTTTTATTACTAAAAAACGAATCTAATATCTTCCTAATATGTGTACCGACGTAATGTTACAAGAAATAAATAAATATTATTATTACAGTGACTTCTTCATGGAAAGAACCAATGCCCGGTTGGGTAGACAATAAGAATGGACCTACTGGACTTCTTATTGGGAGTGGAAAGGGTACGTACTATAAACACATTCAAATCGTGGGTCAAGTTATTCAGGTAGTCAACTGGCGAATCACATGTACTAATTTATATTGTCATGTCTATATAAAAATAAAATAATATATTTTTGTAAGAATGAACCTTATAATGATAGACAGGGCCGTATTAACCTGGGCACGCGAGGGGCGCCGGGCCAAAGTGAAACCACCAGCGAATTACTACTTTTGTTGATGTCAACTCATGTGGCCCTGGTAATAAGTATTTGATACAATAGTGTAATTTATCCAACAGGGGTTATTCGTACAATGCACTGTGAGGCTTCATACCATGCGGACGCCATCCCCGTCGATGTCGTCACCAATGGATGCATATTGATTGCCTACGCTACTGCTATTGACAGGTAATATTGTAGCGAAAACTAAATAACTACAGTATTTTAAACAAACAGTAACCCTGGATTGTTGCGTACTCATTAATTTCACAAATCAATTCTTTCTTTCAGATCTAAGGAAATGCGTATTTATAACATAACTCTATCTGGCATAAAGAAGATTACTTGGGGTCAAATTATAGAAATAGGTAAGAATATTACTTTAGTAGTTTAGTTGTGGAAGTATTTTGAATGAGGGTAGTAAGGGACCGGTCATCATTGAAATGTTTTGGGTAAGTCTATGCCCAACAGTGGGCATAAGGTAGCTAAAAAGCATAAGTTTAAATTACAAACATAAATCATACTACCCAAAATACATTACTGTAATTTTTACTACACTATTTGTTACTGGTAACATTTGGATGACTGGTTGATCGATTTTAAATTATGTTATCTATACCAGTTGGTTACTTCACTATAAAATAATCTTACGATCTCAATAAAAAAAATTACTTGCAGGTAAAAAATGGGTTACAATATATCCTTACACTTTGGCGCTGTGGTATGTAGGCGGCAACATCAAGTCTTACTGGCTGACCCATCAGTTGTGTCTTATCTTCACACATCTGCTGCCAGCTTACTTCGTTGACGGACTGCTGTTTCTTCTGGGAAAGAAAACTTTGTAAGTGTTACTTGTGTGTGCGTGTGTTACATTAATTTTCCAGGTGAAATAAGTGCAAGCTAGAACTTCCCTTTCTCTCTGTCTCGTTCTCTCTCTCTCGCTCTCTCTCTTCCTGGCTAGTATCCCAAATAGCTTATACTACCACTTACAAAGTCTCTTCTTCTCATTCACTGTCTAAATTTATTTATTTAAAAAGAAAAAAGCTTGAGATATATTGAACTCTAAATATATTTACTTTTTATAGCATGGTAAACGTTCAAAAACGTATCAGTCATGGACTCAGCGTTCTCCAATACTACACGACAAAGGAATGGCACTTCAAGAACACCAACTTTCTATCCTTACAAAAGAGGATAAGTAAAGAAGAAGACGACACATTTTTTACTGATGTCAGCACTTTGGATGAAGAGGAATATTTGAAAGATTACGTCCTCGGAGCCAGACACTACGTTCTCAAAGAGGACCCTAACAATTTGCCCCGTGCTAGAAAATTGAACAACATGTAAGTTACTAGATATTTCTAGAACATATACACACGTAGTTTTCTTATTTATATAGGAATTAAAATTTGCAAACACAATTACTACAGGCGCTTCAATAAGTCTAAGTAGAATAGCCGTATAAAGCTAAGACTACATATACCTCGAAATGTTTGTTTTATATTATGTAATACCTCAATATTTTTTTTAATAAAAAATCATTTTATCTCTAAAATTGCAGTATATTAATACTATTTTTGCAGACGTTACGTGGTGGACATCGTGGCTAAAGTTATCCTCGTTGGACTCTTCATTTGGTTCTTGTACTCTCGGATTCCGGCGATGACTTCCTTCGTTGCTTCAATCGACAATTCCTTAAGAAACTGGCTGAATGGAGAGACATCATATGCTTCAATCGTATAAAAAAATTAAAAAAAAAACATCTTTAAAAAAATTTCACTGTATATTTTTTAACATTTTCATAACAATATTATAAAGAATTTGTACATTTTTAACTCATTAAATAAACTTCGTTAAAGGACATCAAAATTCTGGTTTTAATTTTACAAATAATGCAAAAAAAACTACACCAAAAGAAACCTTGACATTTAGCAATGCAATGCATGTACAGTCTGCGCAGAATTGAAAAAAGAAAACGGAATAAAATCCTATGTCCGATTCCTAGTTTTAAGCTACCTCAATGTACAGCCACTGTTTAGTTAATCTTTTGCGAATATTGCTTAGTGGTAGAACATTCGATTGCAGATCCCCTACTTCTGCTTGAGTCCTGCAGAAGCTCCATGCAGAGGGCCCAGGTGTGTTCCTTTAGAGATCCCGGAACACTCGCAGTAGCCCTTGAGTTTGGCCACCGCGGGGGTTTTTGTCACTAGAAATCTTCTTATGATACACTATCTTCTTTCAGGGAATCGTAAGATTTTCCTTCTCTACACTAGAAAAAAAAAGATAATCTAGGGAATTTCGTTAATAAATCGATCATTAGAATATTACTAGTGAGCCAAACGATTGCTAAGGCTATAAAAATCATATTTTTTACTATATAAAAAAGCCCACTGTCTATTTAAAAAAAAATCAGAAAAAAGACTTCATTAATCAATTACATATAAACAAAATGGCTGTTCAAAAAAATGAAAAAAAAACGTTTCTTGTTTTTCTTTTAAAAATTCATCTTTTTTAAATAAAAAGTTTTCCTTTTAATTGACTTTTGAAATAAAAAACGCTTTTAAAAATCTCCCTTTATTTAAATATTACATGCAGACACTCCAATTTTATCAACAATTAAATAAAAAAAAAAAAAAGGTCAAGTTTGTATTTATACTGTAATACAGGTGTTTTTTAATCACATGGTAAAGCATTTGGTATGCGCTTATTATTGTATTTAATTATTCTTAATAATATTATAAATCCGAATGTTTAGATAGTTGCATGGATGGATGGATGTTTGTTTATAGGTAACTCCGGAACGGCTTAATGGATCTCTTTAAAATTTGACATAATTGTAGAACCTAGTCTGGAAGACCACATAGGCTAATTATGATTTTTTTTTTAATTCACGTCAAATTCAAGTCACGGGCGACAGCAAATTTTTCAGGTATTATTCGTTTTTATTCTTTGGTTCACTTGTATATTCACAAGACTTCTCTACAAGCAGAGTATTGTTGCCAGTCTCTAACAAGTTTAAACAGAACCATAAACACTTGACATTGGCCCAATCCGATGAGGGAGAGCCATAAACAAGAAACAGAACAGAACAGACAGCAAATTTTAGTCGATGACGTGACGATGCCTTGCAATGCATGCAACGATGCAAAGTAATTCGCACTGCGCAATACATACAATGATAGCCATATACAATATATAAAAGTATATAAAATAAGATAATTGGGAGATAAACGTTTATTTGTTAATATCAAAATACTACTAATAATAATAAAATTGAAATTCAACCAGTATACGTTTTTGATATGGCAACAAAACCGCGACATTTGTCATATCATAGACTGCATTGAAGCACGAATAATTTTATACAAAATGGCTGAGCTATAAAGACGTGTTTTTGAGTACTTCGAGCATAATGGAGCAAATTACCAATTTATTTTCCCAAAAAGAGTTGATTGCCAGTTATCCTGACATTACTAACAGTGTTTCTTGCGGTGATACAAAGTGTACTGACAATAGTGTGATATCAATTAACGACGACTCTGGTTACTGGAACCCCATACGGCCTTTGAAGTGTATAAAGTGTTGTAGACTTGTCCAAAAGCCTACTCCACATTCTGTGAGGTGGTTTAATTGTAACGTTAATAAATTACTGTGAGTGATAATGGTTTAATATTAAGACTAAGTTGGTGTAGTGCATAAACTGAAAAATGAATAATTTTTATATGAGCGATATGCGTAATAAACGCAACCTTTCGAGCTTCGGTGGGTTTCTTCCGTTTCATTCCGTCACCAATTATTCATCAGACGCAACTAAAATGAAAATAGATATGAAGAATACCTTCGGGGACAGCTTGTATATAGACAATCTTCATCTCATACCGGATCCATTGAAGAAAAATTTGGCGGACTCTTTTATAACTGGACCAGTAAAAACAAAAACAAACATGGCGTCTACAGAAGAAAAAGTTACACCTAATGAAAAGAAGGACGCCCCAACACAGGCGGACCATAGGAAAGACTCGTATCCATCCTTGAGCATCGTAACAAACTTCCTTTCAGGTGTTATCAGTTTTGTATCTGGTGCTATTTTTCAAAAGCGGCCAGACTCAGCCGACTATTACGAATGCTACGATCAAAATTTCGATGAGATGGCGCCCTCTCTCCAAGCTTGGCAGCAAGCCAAGTCTGAGGATCAAAATAAGAATGGATGGGCACACAAAACTACTGTCAGTACAAATGAATCAACCAATACAAACCATTTGAGTATGAATTCAAATAGTGGAAAAAATGCTGCCCATTGTGAGGAGAAACTTAATCAGGTATGTTTCCTTCTCACAAGTCAACAACCAACTCAGTGTCAAATGGGACTAAGTTCAAAGAACCCTCAGGTGTTCGGAGAACAGAGTCCTACTGAGGATTGTTTTGAAGATGCCTTTACACATGAAGATTTTGAAAGCCTTCCGCATAACAGCTACTTTGAATACTATGGTCCCTTTAGTCATGAACAACCAGAAAAATTGGTATCTGATGCACCAAGAAATAAGACTGAATTCCTAACCGAATGTATGGAAATAACAAAAACACTTCCAGATATACAAAAAGAAATTGAAACATATAAAGAAATTAAATCAAATAATACTAGCGAGAAAAATTCAAACATTGTCTTATCATGTGAAGATAAAATGAATAAATTAAAATTGTTTCTTCAAGATAGGAAAAAAGATAAAAGTAATAATTCCAATATCAAATCACCTGATATAAAAGAAACCAATAATATTAAAGAGCAAAGTGAACCTATTTTAATACCAAACAATACAAAATATGAAATAACTATTGGTGATACTATCAAAAATGCCTCCAAAAGTCCATCTTCTCACACTTTGTGCTCAGAAAATATAGTAAAAGATATCAAAGAAGACTTAGGTGCTTTATCAGATAGCCAAAGTTCCACTACTTCAGAATATCTAAATCCTTGTAATTATTTTGACGAGGTCACTGGCAGGTTCTACTCAACCTCTGCTGAAAGCGATGATTCCTTCCAAATTGTGTTTACCGATAGTCCTAATTTGGGCAGAGGGCGAATTCCATCCGAGTGTGAATCTGAGGACTCCTTCATCGTTTTTGATGAAACACCTGACAGTTGTTACTCATCCAATGATGTCTTTGGTGATGAACTGAATGTTACTGGATATGATTTTATTGATACTTCAGAGTCAGAGACGTCAGATGATTCAGACTCCGAAAGTGATTCTGGATGTGACTACAAACCGACTTGTAAGCTTTCTCATACATTGTCACGGACTATTGGTGATTTGACGGATGATTCTTTGTATATTGATGCAGATGAAGTTGACTGTGCAGCGATATTTGTACAAGAAACTCCAATACAAAATCCAAATGAATCTATACAATCATGCGACAGTACTTGTGATGGAACAAAACCAAGAGGTCTGCTGGTTGATGAAAGAAGAAAGTTGGAGAAGAAAAAGCAACCATGTAAAACTGTAAGTAGCATATTTACTATGACAAATTGATTAAATTTTACTTCATGATTTTTTACTTTATTATAATACTGGTTTGTTTTTCTCATTGACGTATACACATACAACAAAACATTGTAATTCCAAATGTTTGAAAAAACATAACTATCTGTAGAATTTTAGGAATTAAGTTATTATATACAAGTATTTAAACTAACTGCATATATTACAATAATAATAAAGACAGTCAATATCAACTTAAGATTGCATATTTTTAAAATGTGTGATTTATCTTCTTATATATAAAATTTTCGTTTTACAATTTTCATTCCCATACTCCTCTGAAACGGCTTGACCAATTCTCATGAAATTTTGTGAGCATATTGAGTAGGTCTATTTCATCTATAATATTTTTAATATCGCGAGGACAGAGTTGCGGGCTACAGCTAGTTTTTCATAAATTTTGATGTATGTTTTGTTACCGTTAGTTTGGAGTTAAACTATCATTGCATTAAACAGTAATTGCTAATGCTTAGTAACATTAACTTATCTATTGAAATATAGACTGTATATATGAGTTATATAACATGTTATCATTTTATAGATAAAATTATTTTTTTACTTAAAAAATCTAAACAATATTTGCTATAAAATTAAAGAAAAATCAAATACTTTTTATATTCTCTCTTTTTGAATAAATAACAAACTCGGTAATTATTCTTGGAAAATGCTTTCGCTGTTGAGCTGAGATAGTTAACTTGTTTTTATTTATTAAAAGGAAATATTTGTTTACGATACATTTTTGTTTGTGGCATTCATGTGTCATAAAACTTATGTAAACAAATAAGATTACTAATATAAAATTGTAAATATGATGTAATTTATGTGAAAGCAATATGAGAAAACCCTAACTTACCATGAATCATAATATGCATACAAAACATAACTATTTGATATCTTTTTTGCTGAGGAAAAATTTGGGTTAAAGATATGTTTTCGTTCAATTGTTTCGATAACATAAACATATTCATTTAAACGGTTTTATGAAGGATTTACAGCTCGGTAGACTTGGCGTGCCATTTGCCGTATAAAATAACCTCACTTACGAAATTAATGAATTTCGACCTTATAAGTGAGAACATACGGTCGTATTTGTCATAGCATGGTATAGCTTTAAACACGGTTCAATGTAATTTCCTGACCAGAGACAAGTTGCTTCATATTTATTCTTCCATTAGTCAGCCATTTTGAATGTCTAATATACGCAA